CAAAGATTTGGCAAGTGGTAAATAAAGAAGCGGCTAGGTCACTAATACAGGTCCATCTGGATCACTTGGTAAATGGGGCACAAGCTAAACAATATTCCCTTTACATTTAGGAACAAAGAATGTTGGTCATATTTACAAGATGGGGGACCCTGTCCTGGGAAGCAATGACTCTGAAAAAGACTTGGGGGTCTTGGTGGATAATCAGCTGAGCACAAGCTTCCAATGCAACTCTGTGGTCAAATGGGCCATTGTGATTCTTGGATGCATAAACAGGGTTATCTTGAGTAGGAATAGAGAGGTTATTTTACAGCTATATTTGGCACTGGTGCAACTGCTGCTGGAATACTGCATCATTCTGGTATCCACCATTCAAGAAGGATATTGATAAATTGGTGAGGGTTCAGAGAAGAGCCATGAGAATGATTAAAAGATTGATTAAACATGCCTTAAATTGATAGACTCAGGAGATCAATCTATTTAGGTCAACAAAGAAAAGATTAAGGAGTGACTTGATCACACTCAATAAGCACCTACACTGGAAACAAATAATTAATAATGGGCTCTTGGATCTAGCAGAGAAAGGTATACCAAGATCCAGTGGCTGGAAGTTGAAGCTAGACAAATTCAGACTGAAAATAAGGCATAAATTTTAACTGTGAGGCTAATTAACCATTGGAAAACTTTAACATTGGTTGTGGTGGATTCTCCATCACCAACATTTTTTTTAATTCAAGATTGATGCATTTCTAAAAGAGATGGTCTTCTTCAAACAGGAATTATTTCAGGGAAGTTCTGCAGGAGGTCAGACTAGATAATCAAAGTGGTCCTTTCTAGTCTGTGAATCTATGAATGCTCCACATTTACCCTCCCCTTTCTTTCAGTAAACCTAGTTCTTGGTGAACTATAAAGGGACAAGCTCTTGCTTCTTGTATCAGCAAGGAGTCATTGTTTAGTTTTTTAAGTACCGTGTGAGGTCCCCTCCAAAAGGGAGTATGTTTGGGATGTTTTTTTCCTGACACCTTTTTCTAGTTGTAAAAAGGTGTCAGGAAAAAACATCCCAAACAGCTTCTCTCCTTCCCAGATGGGAATAAGTTTCCTTTCCCTGGAATACTGTGCCTGGCATGTTTGGATCACCATATACTTTGAAAAGATATCATGAGCTACCAGCAAATTCCAATTTCCAGCTGGTGTTTCTAGTAGTCGGACTTTCAAGTCAATCTATGAAGATTGGGGCATTTCTCCTAAAGGAGTTCTGGCACTCCTTGCTGCTGCTTTCCTTTCGTGACAGATAAGACAGGAAAGTGCTCAGTCCTTAACATCTTCAGCCATGCCCAGATAAAAATCTATTGGATACCCATCTCAGTGTCCTTTCATACCCTGGGTGACCGGCTGCTTCATTATCATGAAAGCACTCCAGTACGGTAAGCTTGCTGGCAAGACAATTTGTTATATTCATACACCAGCAAGTTGGTAGCTGGATCAATAGATAATTGTTCCTGAATTGCATTGAACATCTCCAGGCTTGGTTTCCTTCAGCAGAGCTGCTGGCACACCAAACATAAATCAGAGTCTTGGACTATTCTGGCTAAATGTCATCATAAGACCAGACTGAGTCTATTCTCACCGCCCTCAGCTGGCTTAGAGCATTTGCTTTCCAGGTTTATAGTGAACTGTGAATGTGTATTCACAGTTTGTGAATCCATTTCCACAGGCCACTTTCTGGCTGTACCTCATAGGGAGCCACTTCAGGACACTGTGGTTGGTCTGTCTACAAGGTGAATTCTGTATTTCATAAAGATGGATGATAGGATAACCAGTATTCCAGCCCTGTAGCTGAATACTTGTTTTCCCTCTCATTTAATTTGTGACTACCAAGCTTATCCAATTTGTTCAAGTGCAAAATGCAAATCCAACAACAATCTTTGAGACATCACAGTATACCAGGAATGGTTGGGATGGGTCCAGGAATATAAGCACAGCAAGGTTTAGGAGTCCTTCCTTCAGTGACTCAAGAGGGGTTGGCAGTGGTGTGGGGGGGGGGGTTGGGTATTCCTCTATACAGACAGTGTTGCTCTTAGTCAGCTAGTATAACGGCACTCACCATGCTATGAAATTTGGTAAAAATCTCCTCTAGAATCTGCAGAGACCTACAAACAGCTGTGCCTCCTCTAGGTTCGTAGGAGCCTTTCAGTCCTTTATAACATTCAGTGTCTGGGGTTAATGTACCAACCCATCATCACTGACTACATCTCTCAGGAAGGTGATGCAATTATTTGCAAACCGACTTTTGTTTCCTGCAAGTTTAAACCCTGACTCCTCAAAAAGCTTTACAATCCTTTCCATTCCTACCAAATACTCCTCCCATGGTTTATGAAAACACATGAAGTCATCTACATAGATGAGGATTTATCTAGTTCTCAAAACTTTGGTTAGATTATTTACTACCCTCTTAAACATCCCTGATGCAGTCATGAGTCCAAAAGGCATTATGCAGAATTGAACTGTTCATAAACTGTCACAAAGCACTTTTGCCTGAGTAGAAGTGATCTTCTTGATCTTTCTTGATCTTCAGTTGCCAATGTAATCTGATGGTATCCAGATACCAGATCAAAACAACTATAATATTTTGCTAATTACATTTTCTCCAGGGTCTCTGCTATATGGGAAAGTGGCTGATAGCTATCTTGACCTGTCTGTGAATTATGTCTACTCTAGTCAACGTATATCCTTAAGTCCCTTGGAATTTTTCACAGTTACAATTGGAGATGCCCAAGGTGATGGCGATTTCTCAGTCAGACCATCCTCCTGAATGCTATTTAGCTTCTCTTTCACTCCTACTGGAAACACCAGAGGAATCTAATGTGGGGGCTGTCTCACAGGAACACTCCCGGGCTTAAGCACAATTGGATATTGCACCGAAACATATCTCCCAAGGTCTTCCTTATTTCTGGGGGACACACTGGCACATTGTAAGAGCAGCTGTTATAATCAATTTCTTTCATTGCCTTTTTGCAGATGCTTCTGTTAGGTCAATTCCTAGCTTTTTTACTGGCTGTGCTGCTTCGTAGCTCTTGACTTTTGCCCCATGAGAGGCTTTGAGACACCAGCTACATTGGACATTGTCCCTCTGGTCTGATTTTTCCACTAGCTGCTGCACCTCCTGGTCAGTCACATAAATTACTCTTACCCAAAATTCCCCCTGTGGTTCCATTTGAAATAGAATGTTGATAAAAAGCAATCTAGACTGGATACTCATAGCATCAAACACTCCTACAGGTTCAATGCAGAAGTCTTCTATCCTGGGGGTATTATTGAACATTGACCTGGTTTCACCACAACTTTATTTGAAGACACCACAGGAGCAATTCATCTCTGTCATGCTGCAGACCTCCAAGGCCCCAAGAGTTGCTCCCTATGGTCCATACTTACCACATCCAATAGGGATATCTGTATATTATTCAGGAAAAAGTTTGTTCTATTAACGCTCCATGAATTCTTGTGATGCCTTTGGATGCAATCCTCTCCCAATACATCAGCACTAGAAATACTGGTCACCACAACAAAAGTCCATTTAATATGCAGAGACCCCAAGTTCAGTAGGAGCTAAATTTCACCTGTCATCTGCAGTGGCTGGTGATTAATAGTTACTAATTTAACTCCTGCAGTATAAATATTGTTCTACTTCAGCACTGGATGTTCTCCATGGATCAGATTTATTTTTTATCCTGGAGTCCAACAGCTTTGTGGTTTTCCAGCCGTCAATGTCTCCTGTCACATAGCAACGGGTATCTGGGCAGCTCTTAACATGAGCTATTGTATAAATTGCTGATGGTGGCCTTACTGTATCGGCAATTTCTAGTTTCTCTGATGAGGCTTCCCTCTGGTTCAGCAATTCTACACTGCCTGCAAATATCATCTGGTCTGCAACCCACTCAAGAAACAGTCTTGACAAGGGATATCTGTGAATAGCTTGCACCTGGGCCTCCTCCAATTTTTTAGCCACTTCCCTAGCAATCATTTTTTTGAATTGCTGCATCTGGTATAAATGAGTCACTGGGGGCTGGGAATTAACAGATGATTCCTTTAAGGAAACCCCAATTTCTACTTTCACATTTGTAACTCTGCATGTAATCTGGTTCATAGGTTTTTCTAGTGTGTTATCATCCTTCACCAGCAGTTTCTGAAGTTTTCCTGTTAAACCATTTATAAACTGACTTTCGCATTGAATTCTGTCATAGTTTGCCCCTAGGTATAAGGCCCACTCTACATTGCTAATTCCAGATTTGGTGCAGCAGGTTCTTCTTGACTCACACCATCAAACAGCCAGTATCGTGCTAAGCACCATGCTGCTTTCTCATCAGGCTACTTATTTACAAAGAGCAACGGCTCAAAGTCTGTCAAATACTCACAGATTCCAGTCTCACCTGCATAAACAGTAAACTTCTACTCAGGCAAAAGTGCTTTTGCCATCTTGGATCCATAGCCACCAGTTGTAATAGTTGCTTTTAGAAATCATGGGTGTTTAGTGAGACACTGCAGCAAGTACCAACTCAAGCTCACATAAGCAATACTTAACTTCTTCCTAACACCCTCACAAACTAACACAACAACATCATCTCAAAACAAGACAACAACTTAACACTACAATAAAGATACAGGAATATCTATTGGTGGAGACACTGTCTGCACTGATCATTACAATATTTTATACAGCACTCTGGTAATCCAAGTTGGAGCCACCGGAATTTTGCTTAGGAATGGTGAGCAGGAGTTGGTCTAATGGTTCCACCTTGCAAGGTGTAAACAAGTAAGCACACATATTGATGACATGAATATTTAGCTCAATCTCTTTGGTTTTATTACTCTGATGCCTTGTATCATTAATTCAGAAGATGTTGAGAACCTACAGAAAGAAAGTACCACTACGGCCTGCTGTCTAGATGTAAGTGCAGATGTTTCAGGCAGTTTTATAAATAACACATCAATGTATGTTTTTGTAGGAAAACACGCTTGAAAAGCAGTAAGGAGTTTCCAGCCCGTTTTCACCCACAGAGACTCTGTCATGTTTTCTTTATCGCACTGCTGCTAACCTCCCAGGTATTTCTGAGTCTCTTTGTTCTGAAATTGCATCAGAAGTTGGAGACAGTAAAACAGAAGCAAGTTACAACACAGAAAGATGGTAAGAAAGGAAAATCATGCTATATTTTGGATTCACTTCAAATGAAGGTTGTATAATTTTCTACTCAGAGGTTGAAGGGGGCTTCAAAGCAGTCTCCCATTGATTTCTTCGGGCATTATATCAAGCCCTATGTAAACTTCAAACCCTACTGCTGTGTTATGAGGCAGGGGGCTCTTTTACTTTTACACTCTGGACCAGTCTGATACAATTTTCACTCATCCTTTAATCTGGGCTGTTCTTTCTCCCCATTAAAATATGCACTACTCTCCTCTCCCCATGGGTGATCTATAGCCAAGGCCTGTGTGCTCAAGAGCAGAGAACCTTCTCCAAGGTTGCAGGGCGGTTCTGTACCAGTCCCACAGAAGCTGTGCCACAGAGCAATGCAGTATGTATAAACCACCCAACAGGATAAGACATCTCTGCATAATATCATCCCTTAAGGGTGCCACAACCTGACTCTGGATTTACAAACCGATTCCTACCAGGCACAGCCATGTGCTGCCAGCTAAACTGTAAGATATTCAATGAATGGCTTCCAGATGATAAGTTTAGCACAGTGTCCACTCCCATGGACCTAGTACTTCTCTCCCAGCTTCAGACACAAGCACTCTAGCATAAGACACAGCTAATATGTGGGACATACATTTAGTGGATTCTGGAAGGAGCCCTCTGTATAGGGGATTCTGATGACTTAATTGGTAAAGTCCTCTGTAGTGTCTGGTCACTAGGTGGTAGAAACAAACCTGGCCTATGGTTAAACTTTTAACAGTTGAATTGAGACCACAGAAATGACATGGTAAAAAACAGAAAGCAGCATTCTGCAGCATTTATCATTCTGAATATTATTTTAAGATACAGGATAGAAGGTAGCAAGTGTTTATGTGTGTGTGTTTGGTATTTTAGTATTTTTGGGTATCTTTTGTTTGGTATTTGAAGTTCCTAGCTACTGCACATTACATACACATGGATCTGTGCAGACAGGGCAGACAAGTACAAGAGTATCACATAGTCTTGTTTATAACATTTGAAGAAGTCAAATGCTGAGATAGAAGCTTGCATGCTAAATCAGGTATTCAATTCTTAATACAAAAAAGGTCAACTTATTACCATCAAATTCTGGGGTGCTAACGCTATTCTATAGCAGTTTAGCACCTCTTGTCAATGTGATATTTATCCAAGAATTTTGTCTTCAAGACTAGAGATGTTATATTTCTCCCTTACATTTTTATCAGTGAGTGTATTTCCCCCTATTTGAATACACCTTGCTTTTCATTGGAGAAAAAAACACTCCTCTATAAAATATTTAGCAATGCTTAAGAAAATAAATTAAACCCATAGGGTAATTTTTTGATAAATTTTATTGCTTGTACACACATGTCATAATCAAAGTACAATACAAACTTCAACTATAAAGCCTCGCAGCACCCCTGTGTCATAAGTAAGAGTCATGTTATCCACATTTTTCAGATAGGAAAGCTGAGATATCGAGTGACATATTTTTGAAACTGGAGGTAGGAGGCCCATGTGCAAAGAAAATATGTGAGAAAGTTACAGTATCTATAAAAAGAAAAGGAGTACTAGTGGCACCTTAGAGACTAACCAATTTATTTGAGCATAAGCTTTCGTGAGCTACAGCTCACTTCATCGGGTGCATTCCAAACGCATCCGATGAAGTGAGCTGTAGCTCACGAAAGCTTATGCTCAAATAAATTGGTTAGTCTCTAAGGTGCCACTAGTACTCCTTTTCTTTTTGCGAATACAGACTAACACGGCTGCTACTCTGAAACTTTACAGTATCTGTGAGAGCATTTATCACACTGAGAAATCAGAAAAACGCACACACACAAACAATTTAGGCATCTAACTAAACATTTATATGGCCAATTGCAGTAAGTGCATTTCTGCATGCATAATGTGGGCCACTGCATTTTTAGAAGTTGGGAGAAAGAAATTAAATATCTTGCCCAAAGCCAAACAATGTGTCAGTGGTGAAGCTGGGAGCTCCTAGCCATACAATGTTCTGTTATTGGATCACATTGCTTCTCAGGGTACATTCTATAAATAATGCATCCTTTTACTATAAAGGTCATATAGTTCAGAAATACCTTATTGCTTTGTACACTCTGTTCTAAGCAAAAATAAATTCCATAGAATCTGCAGCTGTAATTTTCTGATGAATTAGCAGAATACCTCTCAGAGTAGTACAAACCAAATGCAATGTAAAAGGTGCTTAGGATCTGAGATACCAGCTTGTTGTTAGGTCCTGAAAATTAGTGGGATTAGGCACTTCACCCCCCTATTTTATCAGTTTCTCTGGGAGACGGGACCTATTTTTATTTTCTATTTCATTTGACGCCTCTCTTATACATTTATTATTTTAGTTGCTGGTATGAAGTAAACACAATTTTTATTAGGTTATTAAACTCAATCTATGTTACTGCTATTGGACTAAGTTTTATAGGAAATCTACAAAATGTGATGAGTTGCTCCTTGGAAGTCCAACTCTTGTAGCTGATGACAATGTGAACACTACTTTTACTGCAAGGATAGAAACAAACAGCTGATTTAGCTGCATAATCGAAAGGGTATCTGTTAGAATGTTCAATCTATATATACATAGTGTGTAGGCCTTATTACTATGGGAATATTCTTTCCAATCAAGATGCAATCTATAGTACATCCAAACGTGCTAAGAGTATTAATTAGATGTTTCCGGTATTTATTATAGGCAGAGTTGGTAGAGCTTCCAATATGTAAGGATGCCCAGCACTTCCCATTTCAAAACCCTGTTTGCAGTTGCTGATAATTTTGCCAAACTGTAATTATACAGACTGAAATTCCCCATACTGGGTGTCTGTCACAGACTGAATTTTTGGGGCGTTTCAGCAAAAATGGATGAGCCAAGAATGAAATTAGAGAAATATGTGTTTTGCCTACAGTAAAAAAAAATCTTAAAACCGAAAGGCTGGTCTCATGATTAAGGCAGTTGAATGCTATCCTGGAGAGTAGGATTCTGTCTCTGCTCAGAATTCCTATGTGATGCTGGGAAAGTCACCTAAATCAAACTTCTCACAGGTGGCCACTAACTGTGTGCTCCTCATTTTCTGGGTACCCTACCTGAGACCCTGGTCTCTGATTTGAAGAAGAGCTGAGCACTCACAGCTGCAACTGAAGCCATTGGGAACTGTACTTTGAATACATAACATGCTATATAAAGCTAAGGACTGTAAAGTCAGACCCAGCTCATCTCAGATCAGACCCCCCAAATGAGTGGACACTTTTTACCTTAATGTCTCTGTGCCTCAGTTCCCCATCTGTAACAATACCACTACCTCACCTCAGAGTTGTCTTGTGAAAATAAAACAATTAATGTTTGTGAAGCACTCAGAAATTATCGTGATGAGTACCATAGAAAGCCTATGAGGAAATTAATAATGTGTCTTCAGAGGATGGTTGGATGGTGTACTGGGATCACACATGGAACAATGAGGAAAAAACAAAACATTGAGTAGCTTCTCTTTCAATAAGCACTGTCCATCCTGGGCATAGACTAAGGTAGGGTCCTGTGGAAAAAGTAGTATGTGATCATGTAATTAAAGACTGGACTAGAATGCACACATGCTGCTTATCTGAACTAACATTGCACAGGCAACCTTAAATCTGGCATTTCTTAACTTCTGAGTATTGGACTTTACAACCTGGACATTCTTTTAGCATAGATGTTTATGTATAATTTATATACCACTACATTCAGTTCCTTGCACATTAATTATTAGCACATACTTAGCTTCAAAAGTATGCTTCATTTTTACGAAATACTTCTGTTTTCCAAGATTCGAGTCCAGCTGTATTTTCAGCACCTTCTCTTGTTATAAATGGCCTATAATTTTGTGGTCTCATCCCAGCCCTTAATCCACATTTCCAAACCACTACACATGTTGGCATAATTCTGCAAAATTAGCAGGACTCTCTCTCAAGGAAAGGCCAGGAATGGACAGAATAGGCAGGGCAGGCCAGGACTAAGGTGATTTATCAGAGCTGTGCTAGGAAACTTCAGATCCTCCACTTTGCTTATCTCCAGCGCTGATTGTGTTCTCTCACTTACACCATGCTAAATGAATTCACAAATTTAAAATAATAACAGCTGCAGACTTTTAGTTTGCCCCTGTAAATAACATTGATAAATGTGAAGTGTATATTATGAAGTGTCTGACACACTTCCAATTACACCAGAAAGTGCTAAATAGTTATGGATTCTTTGGCACCTTCAAATTCATTTAGAAGAGACTGATAATTTGTAAGCAAATATAAAATAACTAACTAGCACGTTCTGGATGAAGAACCAAAGATCTTAATAAATCAAGTTCCTCTAGGACAGTAACACTTAAGGCAATGTATGCTGAATAATAAGAACCACCAAAAAAACCTCAGATGGTAAAAACGGTTTTAGTGTCAGTGCCAATGGCAAAGCCAAGGGTTCTCAACTTAATGTCCCAACACCGTGAACATCAGCAAAACATCTATGATATCTCCTAAGCCACAAAACACCTCATTAATATTATTATAGCACTCCCCAGTGAAGTTTGAAGCCTCCATTGAACTAGGAATATGTCTGCCAGGTCAGCTGGCCACATGGTCTGTTCTAGGCTCTATTCCAGCTCATTAATCTGTTTCTGCTCCCTCTGCTATGAGGGTCTCCTCTGATTTCATCCTTGTCTTCTCTTTCCTTGGTCTTAAACTAAGATCATTCCACCTCAAAAGCCCAGCAAGCATGATGGTGGACTCTGTATTCAGGGTAATTCTGAGCGCCTGGTCAAACTCCTCATAGTAGGGACAGATAGATGGGGAGTTGCAAGGTTTGCTGTTCACATCCTTTGCCTTTTGGTAGGTATCCTTGAGATTTTTAATTCTCCCCTGACACTAGATAGCCATTTGCACAGTCACCAGCCTCTTGAAGATGCTCTTGTACAAATGCTGGTTTCAGGTACATCTCCTAAAAT